TTGTAATTTGTTTCACCCTGTACTTAAACTTTTTAAAGGAACATAATAAAAACAGCTTGAAATATTACTACGGCACAAATCACGCAATTTTTACCATATGAAGACAACCAGTACAAGTTCCAAACCATCAAGATAAAGCATTTTATAAATATCAATATGAAAGCTACAATTATGAAACATATTGAACTGTTGCTGGCCAATAATTCAACAGCAATACTAATACACTGTTTTACATACACTTGTACAATATATAAAAATGTACTTGCTGTATGATATACACAAAATACTACACTTGAGCCTCAACTTACTTTTTTAAAGTTAAACCATATTACTTTGAGAGTTGTACCTCAAAATATTTAATGATATTACCCAAAGCTTTCTTGCAGTTGCACACAATAAAGAAAGTTAAGGACACCCAGGTAATGCAATATCATTTAAAAAGATTAGTAATAATATCTACACTTAATATATAAATGACGAACATTAGTATCTTATTGCCATACATTCCATGTTTATTAATAATAAATATATATATTAATATAATCCACAATTTACAAGAAGTTTTAGATTTTATTATACATTAAATGTTACTAAAATTTAAATAAAAATTAATATTCTAAAAACAGAGATCACATACGTGGTTATTAACTGTAAAAAATATTTACACTAACTTTTTTTTTTAAATTAGTTAATGCCCAAGTTACGAAATGTTGTTTAGACTTCAGCAGCTTACACACTGGTTCAATGGTGTATGTTTTATCTTATATTAATACTAATAGCAGTTAGAATGTAACTATTAAAAATACAGCGATGATGAACGTTAATACATAAACGAAATACTCAAATACTTGGTTTCGTCTTAACAATATTATTAAATTAATAATGAAACCTGAACAAAGAGAAAGACAAACCTTTTGCCAAAGCAACCGTAGATTCTTTGGTATCAATTGTATACAATATTCCTTCATACCGAATTTCGGATTTGGATATCAAACTGATTTTACTTCCCAAGTAAGGTACTCCTCCACTCATGATTATGTTGTTTCGACTGACAATCTTAACTATTATTGCTTCAGATATGTTTACCTAATTCACTCCTCTTATTTGTAACTCCTACTGAAATGGCGGATGCATTTCTTCAGTTTTAACACTTATCGTTAGGGAGCGCCACAAACAAATATTATTATGCAAAGTACATGCTCAATAAATCTGTCTCGCACATGGAATTACACATTCAAATTACATACCCAGTATGTTGTACGTTTCACGAGGATTCACACTTGTGATTTTTTTTTTATAACAAATGAAATGTTTATTTATTTGAAATTCAAAATTTACAGAGTACATGGTATATAAAAAGTGATCGTTTCAAATATTTCTGTTGAAGAAAGTTATTGTTCAAATATTTCTGTTGAAGAAAGTTATTGTTCAAATTATTCTTTGTATTCATATAAATACAAAAGTTATATTTACCCACTATCTTATGGATCATAAAATAATATTTTACAAATATTTATTGAAATATTAACAAAACATTTTTTACACCGACTTTGTCTTTATAGTTCTTCACGTATATTTTGATTACACAACTAATTGATTAGTATTGTTGCGTCAGCGAGGTCACGTGACTAGTGTCACGCCACCTCTCGAACCTTCGGGAATAGTCGGGAGATTACTAGATGTAGGGTAGTCTGGTATATATATAAGAGGGTGACAACGTGACGGGACAATGTGTGTGCAGACAGTGAGTAATTGATCTGGAGTCAGCGAGTATTATTGAAGTTGAGCACGTTCGTTGTTATAGCGTTTGTTTTAGCGCGATTGTTGAAATTAAGTGTATCGTAAACTTATATTCGGAAAGAATAAACCAGTTTTATTAAGTAAGGACTTGTGTCGCTATAGTTTCGTCAGAACGAAGTTACGGAAGATTAATTAACAAACGGAGACGTAACAGTATGATAGC